TGCACATATTGTGAATTTATTTTTAGTGCCATTAGCTGTGGAGAGGCGTGGATTTCATGTGTCAGTCTGGACGACAGCTGCTCCTGCCGCTGATATGAAGTTACCTGCCAGCAAACTGACGCCTGACGCGAACACTTTGAGAATCAGCTGACAGCCTCGTCTTGATTAACTCTCCTCTGAGGATTCGCAGCGTCGCTTTACCTGACACTGTGGTCTCTATTGGTGACTTGTGGTATCCTCTTTTGAGAGAAAGGGGGAACAAAAAGTAACAGAAATGGAACAGAGTGTAACCTGCACTTTCATGCAAACTCTCCTGATACTCCCCGTCAGGTGATCAGCGTGTCACTTAGGACTTGTCTCCGTAACAGCCTTCCCAGGTGCGACTCGGTAATGCGCCTAAACCCAGCAAAGTGAATCCACGTGCAATTTATTACTGTCACCTTCCAAGCATCTTGGGAGGAGGCTTGAAGTCAATTATGTCTTTTGTTCTGTACGTTGAGTGCTGTATTAAGTGTCTCTGTCAAGCGTGTCAAATTGATACAAGAAAAAGAAGCAAGGCTGGCATTTCCCCTGTTCGTACGCTCGTATCTCAGTCGTAGTTCTGGTGAGCTTCCAGGCTTGAGACACACACAAAAACGAGCAGACTAGGAAAGTTTTGACAGACAAGTGATAATGAGTGGGGGGGGCGTTGAACAAAGCCCTAATCACAAAGTGTTGTAACATCCTCCAAAAATGTCAGTAAAGCTCAGAAGCAGCCTGTGTAAGCGCTGAAAGAAACAACGCACAAGTATGAGAGGAATACAGAATTGGACACATGTCATGATATTTACCGCTGTACGTTTTGACACACATGTAGCTGTTTGAATTTTCCCTGACATGGCAGATCAGATTTCTACAAGCATTACCAAGGATCTGTCTCCACTCCTGCTGCTGCTGAGCTTAGATCTTTGATTTCTGTGTCGGGAGTTGGAGCTGAACTGTCTCTTTCTTTGGTTCCTTTTTTTTTTCAAATACCAGAGCGATTGTTACTGCTGTACATCATAGTTCCAAAGTCAGCACAGCTCCAAAGAACTACATTAATTACGACTTCACCAAGTATCCATGAGCCCTCATAATCAACACCTACCTCCTTCCTCTCCGTGCGGCAGCGAGAAGCCATGCAGCGGCACGGAGTGTGAAAATGAAGCCGTTGACTCGTCACATTAACTCTGAACGATCCTCTCCGCTCTCCTTACACTTTGTCTGTGGGATCTTTCACAGGGGACCTGGCGTCGGACGACGAGTACCTGGAAATCCCGTCCATCTCCAGACGGAGAGCGGGGACGTACGAATGCACAGCTGTCAACGATATCGACACAGATGTGCAGACCGTAGACATCACGGTCAACTGTAAGTCCGTTGCTGAATTTATCCAAATGATACTTTAATATTTGCATAATTTGATAATTGTCGGTTAAGGAAAAGCACCAACTATTTACTGATTCCACTCTTTCAAATATGAGCCTTTCTTTTGCTGCTTTTTTATTTCACTGTGAACTGAGTGAGGGTTGGATAGTTAATTAGGGGGGAAAAAAGATATCATGTTGGACTGTGGGAAATTAAGACATTTCATTTGATATATATTTTGTTGGCAGAAATTTGGATAATTACAGTTCTCTGTTCGATTTACAAATGAATTTACAATATAGCATGATGCTTCTAATTTGCTATGAAGAGGACTCACTGAGCACCTTATTAGGACGGCAGTCAAGCCAGGTCTCCTTGCTCTCAAACCATCTCTTCAGTGCTGGAGAATGGTCAGACTGCACCCATTAGGGAAAAAAAAAGATTTGTTTGTATTTCCTTAAATAAATTGCACATATGCAGCGACAGTTTTCCCGCAAAATAATGTGTGGAACTTGTTTTTGTGGAGCATTTGCATGCGGTGAGGGGAGCAGCCTGATGCATGATCCAAATCTTCATCAAAATGTTGCAGCCCAGCATGTAGATGTCTGCTGGTGGTGGAAGGAAGAGAGAATGTATACGATGCACGGCTCCAGTTCAGCCTCATGAGTCAGACGTCTCGCAATCTCTTGATATCATGGATTCCACAACATGTCGGACACGTTGTTTTGAGATTCTGCGCTACGATGCCATGATTCATCACTTTCACTGATTTGTGAGCTGCAAATTCATGCTTGCAGTCTACAGCTGTACCATATCCGAAAGGTGGATTTACATACGGTGACTGAAGTCCACTGAGCTGTCCGCCATGAAACCAGTCTGAGGCCTGGTCCACACGTAGCAGGGTTTTTGTAAAACTGAATATCCTGCTCCCTCCGTCGAGAAAAACACTAACACACCACCTCGTTTTTAGAAAAGAATTCATCCACACCTAACTGCATTGGTGCGTTTTTAAGCACATTCATATTCTACATGAGGATGTAAGAACTCCAACGACAGGAGCGACGACCAGGACGTATGGAAATTGTCACGCCATTCCTCCGGGAGCACGATTTCCGTCTCAAAGTTCTCCCACCAGCTGGCAGTGCGTCCCGGTCTGACCCAAAACCGGCGTCGGTGTCTTTGACGGAGAACATGCCTTGGACGTGGAATGGCAAGGTGGCGGAAAATAACGTCGTCCTTCGCCTGTGTTCTTGTACGTGGAGCGGTATCTGGGCCTGGACCAGAGACAACACGGTTCTGAGGGCGTCCACGCTGTTTCCAAATGTAAACACAGGTCGCATATGTGATGTAAAGAACATATTTTGACGCAGGCAGTGACGTTTCGAAACCTGACGTCCACATGCAGACGCATAAACGGAGGATTCACAGATCTTCACTTTGGTCGGAGGTTTTGGAAAAATCGTTTTTAATCTGCATTTTCGTGCAGATGACAGACCACATCATAGAAAAATATCTTCGCTTTGTGAGATACCCTGCTACGTGTGGACGAGGCCTGAGACGACTTTTTGTTTGGCGACCTGGTGCGTTGTCCTGCTGGAAGTAGCCAACAGAAGATGTAAACCGCACATGAGGGACACGGTGAGCAATGATATGCAGACAGCCTGTGGCATTCAAACTCTGCTCGGTATTAAGAGACTGAAGGTGAGCCAAGAAAACAGTCTTCACAGCATCACACCAGCAGCAGTCTGCACTGCTGACACAAGGCAGGTTGGGTCCATGAATACAAGCTGTTGATGCCAAATTCTGACACAACATCTGCAGCCTCACCAGAAGCAGAGATTTATCTGATCGGGTTCTATTTTTTTTCCAGACTGTACAGCGTTGATGAGTCTGTTTCTGTGCAGCCTCAGATTTCTGCTCTGTTCAGCTCAGTCGGTTTGGCCATTCTCCTTTGATCTCTCTCAAGGTGTCGCTCTCTTGATGTTTTCAACTCATTTCAATGTAAACATTAACTAAAGCTCCTGACCTGTGTATGCAGAAGTGTATGCATTGCAATCAGCCTGCAAGAATGAGCAGGTGGGATCCTAATAAAGCGCTCAGTGAGTGTGCCACATATCATTTCAGTATTTGCTCCGTTCGTGTCAAGTGATTGATTTCATAAAATAGTCACCTGATTTTTATCTGATAACATATATAAAGTCCTTCTGTAATTTAATTTTTCAAGCGATAATGCAGCACATGATCTAATTCTCCAGCTAATCAGCTGTACTTACCGTTTTATAGTTACCACATAGAGCCCCGAACAAAATGTGAGAATCCGAGTAGTAACTAAATGCCAGTTCCCACATTATCCTCAAACAGCTAACAGCTAAAATCTATTTAACAAAGTGTCTCTGCAGCAGGAAAAAAGCAGAATGAATGGTATCATTAAAGCCTGAACAGTTAATTTCCTCTCATCGGCCCCTAACACTATGCACTATCACCGGTGTAATAAAAATTGCGCATAATTTGAACTCATAATTCCTGTTCACTTATTGTTGTGCCGAAGATCACAGCCATGAATCAAGAATCCTGGCTGAAGAGGGGGGGAAAGTGCCGTGGCCTCTCTCCTGATATGCTTGACTTGTGCCGCCTTGTAGTGGTGAACACAGCGCTCCAATGTGTTGCTGCCTTCTTGTAGATGCTCCAACTGTGTCAGAGGGCAGAGACGTCGGAGTGACTCTGGGCCAGAGAGGAGTGCTGGAGTGCGAGGCTGATGCAGTGCCCGAGGCAGATTTTGAGTGGTATAAAGATGACAGAAGGTAATGGGTTTTACATTTGCATTTTGAGCAGGCAAATGGAAGACATGAAAGACTATTTGTGTGTGTGTGTGTGTGTTTGTGTGTGTGTGTATCAGTCTTGACCAGTTTTCACCACAGTTATTGATGGTTGCTGATCCAGTCATAAGGTGTCAATATGGTGGCTGACATGTTTTTGTTTGTTTTGTTTACCGCCCTCACATTTAGAATCCTCAATGGTTTTGATGGCATGGAAATCGTCAACACCGGATCACTCTCAAAGCTGACATTCTTTAACGTGTCTGATGGAGATTATGGTAACTACACCTGTGTCGCCATAAACAAACTTGGGAGCTCAAACACAAGCTTTCTTCTGTATGGTGAGTACATTACCAGCACTAATGAACTATGAGTTATCATGTGTTGTCCAGTTTCTATAGCATATAGAAGCAAAGATGAAAAGCGCTTTACATGCAGCCATGAGCAAAATTGTACATACGCTTGTAGAAACCATGTATATCCTGGTAATCTTCAGTTTCCAGTGACTCTAATTCTTCCACGATGGAACCACTGGATCCCATGTTGGTTCTTTCATAGGTTTATTATAGGTCTTCTGGAACTATGACAGAATCTGCTGGGTCATAAAATATACATAAAGCAACTTGACTATTCAGTTTTGGTGATGTTGTGTATCGCACAGCCTCCTCTACAGTTGACAACAGCAGCTGACCTCTCCGCTGTAGCCACAAAAGTCTAGCAAAGATCTGAAAAGGCAAAACAATGACTTAAAACAAGACAGGAAATTCACTTGAAGCCATTTCCAAGCAGCTACAGATTGCAAAATCAACTGTGCAAACGGCTGTAAGTATATAGCGCCTGCTACAGTTGTGTCAGTGCCAGGATCATGAAGAAAACACAAACTATCACCTGCTGCTGCTGCTGCTGAGGGACAGTCGGAATCACCGCAAAAACATGTCTGCAGTGTATTAGAAGCTGCTGGAACACGGTTGTCAGTGTCAACAGTCAAGTATGTTGCACATCCCCATGAGCTGAGAGGCTGCCGCTCAAGTCCTTCCTCTAAATTGGCACCCGGAGGCTCGACTGAAGTTTGATCACATAGACAAAGGAAAGGCCTTCTGGAGGATGGCTCTGTGTTCAGATGAAGTGTAGCTTTTTGGCCACTATGACCTGAAAGAAGGTGAAGCCTTTAACCCCAAGAACACCAACCATACCGTTAAGCATGGCGGTGGTAGTATTATAATCTGGGGCTGCTTTGGTGCTTTACACAAAGCAAATAGAATAATGTAGAAGAAGGATTACCTCCACATTCTTCAGCAAAACCTTCAATCACCAGCCAGAAGGTTGGATCTTGGACGCATTTGGGTGTTCCAACATCATGATGACGCCAAATACACATCAAAGGTGGTAAAGAAGCGACTAAGTTAGCAAGAATGAAGGTTGTAGTCTGCTCTCTCCAGAGTACTGACTTAAACTCCATCAAGAACCTGTGGACTGTGATGAAGAAACAAGTTTGTGTCAGAGAGCCAATTAATTTAGTTGCACTGTATTAATTTTGCGAAGCGGCATGGTTAAAGATACAACCGAAAGTTTGTGGACAGCTACCAGAAGGGCCTAGTTGAGGTGAAAATGGTCAAAGGACATTTAACTGCATATTAGCTGTACGTATAGGTTTGACCCAGCAGAAGACCTGTAATCAATCTATGGAAGATTTTTTGTTTGTTTTTATTTTCTTTTTGTGACAAAGGTGAATGTGTTTCAGTGATTCCATCACAGGAAAATAAGAGTTGTAGGAGCCACTGGACACTCAAGAATGCCGTACTGTTCATGGTCTTTACAACCTATGTTCGCGAGATGACAAGCAGCAAATAGATATTTGCCCTCACCACTGAGGTGTCCCCAGATTTGTGTGATTTGACGCTCATACAGTTAGATCAGCTGAGACAGTGTCGGGGTAAATCATAATGTATTGAATGATTTAAATGCAACCTGTCTGAGGTCTGAACGGCCTTTTTCTCATACAAGCATTGCAGAAGCGTGCTGTCATGAAGCCATAAGGAACAATAATGTAACAGATAGTTGTGTATGAACATTAAAAAGCTTTCCTCGATTGATGAAGCTGTCGTGGTAAATATTCTATGTCTTTATCAGGCCCGTCTGCTACCTCACAGCACAGACATGTTCCTGAAATCTCCAAAACTGTCCCTAAGATCAAGAATGAAATGATCAGTTTATCAATGAGAATTAAAACGCTGTAGCTTCTTCATTTTACAGACGACTTTATGAAACAACCTGCACTTAAATGAATAGCTGTTTGGTCTCACCAGTTCGTAGCTGTGCTGCCAGAGTGTTAGAAACTATCGAGCAGCCTACTTCTCATGCCTTTCACAAGTGTTGTCAATGATGTGTTGCTGTTCTGTTTCCAACATGTTGCTCTGTTCCATTTGTTCCTCTGGTATAGTGGTAATTGAACCCACTAGCTCAACGCTATTGCAAGGTTAGTATTCTGCGCCAGCATGCACTTCAACTATCGTGGATCGAAAGTATTAACAGCATGCTGGAACATGTCAGACATTGCCATTTTCACAAGCTGGAAGTTAGGCCGCCGCATTGTCTCTCGTGTTATAGAGAGAATGTCTCTGCTGCAAATCAGCCAGAGAAAAAAAAATCATTTCTTTGTTCTTTGATCCTCTCAGAATCGTACCGTTTTAACTCTGTTCTCTTTATGAATTGACACGATGGAGCTGTTGTGTGGCGAGCGCTCAGCCTTTGAAGAAGAGAAAACCGAGACTCAAATGTCATGTGAATCTTTGTGAAAATGGCCAATGCATCCTCTTTTTTTGTTGTTGCTAACTGTGTTTCATCTTTCTCATTCCCAATCCTAACCGCCTCTCTGTGTGACGTCGGCTTCTTTTTGATTTTTTTGCATGCTCTGTTTTCAATGTAAGTATTTATCATTCTCACTCTAATCATTAGCATGTGTGATTCTGTCAACCTGTACAACCTCAACAATAAATAGCAAACGGAAAACTGCTGCAGACTAAAATGTTTCTGCACATAGTGAGTGCAGATTGTGGATGAGCCCTGTGAGTGGTTTCAGAAGCAGTTCTTAGAGATGTGCAGAGATAAACACCTCACCCTCCGTGTCATTTGATGCGTCCTTGTGACTGCCGGTTGCAGCATCTTGTCGGCAGACCCCACTTCATTAACACAACGGAATTGTATTATTGGCTTTGATTTTGACTATGAGTGAACGTCATTATTCTAATTAACCATATGCAGGATTAGGGATAATCCACTGTGGCAGGGTAATTGGATAGATGCCCCAAAGGAAACTGTGGTGAACTCATGGAAATCCAAGGGAAATGAGTAGTCATTGTGTTGCAGGCTTCAAAGTTTAAAAAAAAAAGTCACTATTTGCCTTCGATCCTCATACGACACGTTCATTTTGATGGAATTTGCCTCATCTCTGAAAGGAGCATGATGAAAATACGACTTGTTTTTCTTCATAAAATGCATCCTACAAGTGTATAGTAGTGTAACAGTGGATTCTTGTGATTTCCACAGAAGTAGAATACCATTTAAGAGGTTGGTATTTTACACAAGTACCCAAGAGTCTACTTTTAATTTTTGTTAAATCTCCGTGAAATAAGATTAAGCATGTGTTTTTATTTGAAGCTTCCACATTGATTAACATTTGTTAAGTGAGCCAGTTTTGAATAAATAGGCCAAACGTACATAAAATGAGTAAAAAACAATAAATCCTTCCAACATCTGTCCAATGCTTGTACACATTTAACACTTACACATGCACCATATGCTTTAATACGAACATACATCGCTGAGAGAGATTAGCGTTACATCTGAGAAGGACCCCTGTTAAAACTGAAACAAAGCAAAACCTGGAAGTCAAAGCTTCACTTTAAAATATTCCCTTGAGTTTCTTTGAGCAGCTCTCAGTACTAAGAAATGTCCTTGTTAACGGATAAAGAAAACAAAAAAACACCCTGCTTTAAGCTATGGATGCTGTGCATGGTTCACTTTTAATCCCTTTAAATAAGAGTTTTTTGCTGCAGACAATGTCATTTTGATCATCACACTTCAAAACAGCTGCTCTCTGCAGCCTCGCTAATGGAAGCTTTTACTGTAAATATAGGTTCTTTTGTCGACCAAGGTTGCCTCCTGACTCCGGTTTGTTTTATTCATGCCGCATTAGGATTCAAAAATGAAACATTTCCGATCCATCCAAGTCTGCTCGAGAAAACAAGCACTGACAACATGATGCTTGTCAGTTTTGTGTTGACTCTGGCAGAAATGCCCTCACTTTTGTCAAGTATCAATCTCTGAGATTAAATCAGACAGTTACAAAACCACCATAAGTGTGTTTCCCTAACAGCTTCTGTATCTGAAAAATAAACAGTTTAACAGATCTAGGCAGGTTTGACTGCATGTTTTATCTGTAGTGAGCTAATAATGGTGTGTATATTAGAAGCACAGTCTGAAAACAAAAGAGGGCCTAGGATGGAACCAGGAGGTATCCCAAAGCACCAACAGCATAGTCTGTATTTGGCAGTTTCACAGTTTTGTCTTAAAATGAACTTCACCCAACAATCAGCCAATTTCCTCCTTTTCTTTAAATCACTGTTTTGCTGAACTGCTCGTTCGCTGCATGTCTTCATCCCAAATCTGTCTCCTACAAATTGTACAATACTGCTTATGTGTTCTGTGTTTATAGGGGGAAAAATAGTTGTTTGAATGGTAATGAAGTTATGACTTGTGACTCAAGTCAGTGTTGACTCTTGTGTTAGTTCCAAATTAGAACCGTTGAAGAAGTTGCCAGTGAATACCAACACACATGATCAGTTTCCATCAGTTTCTTAGCTATGACCTGAAATTGTGTGTCCATATATATATATATTTATATATTGGGAAAAGATAAGCCAGACCTCATGTTTGGTTACTAAAAATGTAAAACTAGTTTATATCTTCTGGGAGGGAAGTTTGCTTAACCCACAGATTCAGTCACAGCTGTCACTGGTCATAGTGCTGTGAGATTCCATCAAGTTGTCTTTGACGTTGACCATATAAACACTTTGGCTTGAAACCAGCAAGAAAAGCAACTAAACTATCATGTTGATGCCATCTCACTAATGAAACCATAAAATCCATCCCTCCTTATTCCTAAATACAGTCGTGACTCGATAATCTGACCCTTAACAATCCAAAAATCTTGCTATCTGACAGGTTTTTAGGAAAAACGAACGGAACCCATTAAAAACAGTCTTAACATATCGACAGCCTTGGATTCTGACTCCGACATGACATTTTATGTCACAAATAAGGATAACGGCGTATTATCTGACTGAACAATCCCACAGATTGGCTACGTTCAGACTGCAGGACTTAATGCTCAATTTTGTGAAATCAGATTTTTTTTGTGTGAGTTTGTTCACATTTCCATTTAAATGCGACTTGTATGTGATCTGCTGTGTGAACTTCATACGACCCAAAAGTGTCCCGCATGTGCAGAAGAGGACACGATGACGTCACACGTAGTGAGCGTGCTCAGTGTTTACGGAAGTAAACACGGATGGTAATGGTGGAGCGTATCCACCACTCACAGAACTGTGACCGCTAACTAAACTGGCATCAGCAGCCAAGTACTGACTGTGCACTCCGGCCACTTCCACCCCATCGGAGCGCTTCCCCAGGGTGGAAGTGACCAGAACGTGCACAATCGTACCGGTCAATTAGGCATGAAATCCAGTGATGCGTCGTGTTCTAACAACACACTAGTTATTATAACAACTATAAATAATAAATATTAACAAATTAGCCTTATATCATCAAGCCCTCCTTGTATCTCGACCTCCATCTTGACAATCTGACATAAAAGAAGGTTTTACATTTAGTGTCGGATTATCGAGGCACGACTGTATTCTAAATACTGTCATCACTGTTATAACTATGATCCCTTTTAATTAAGTAACTGTTACCACAAAGCTTCAAATGTTGTGTCGTTGAACTGTTCTCAGCAGATAGTGAGTTTCTTTAATAACTTACCTCCAGTAGTGCAAACATGAAGGAAGAGTCCATCATCAATGGCCAAACTTACTGTTTGTGTTTTTTTTCTCTTCTTCTGTTTTTTCTTCCCTCCTGTCAGGACCGAGAGCAGTCCAGGATGGCAGCGGCGGTGCGATGGGAGTGCACTCACACACCTGTCTCCTCTTCATAGTGTTTCTGCCCTTCCTGCTCAGATTTTGAAGAGGAATGGATTTGAACACAAGTGTTTTGTGTGTATGTGCGTGCGTGTGTGTGTGTGTTTGTGTGTGCGCGTGAGTGTGTGTGAGTGTGTGTGAGTGTGAGAGAGTGTGTGTTTATTTTTTTTTTCAACCGGAACCATAAACTGATGCACAGCGAGTGCATGAAATATCCTGCAACGTATTGATGTTGACCCACTAAATAAGTACGTGATAAGTTTCTGTTGGGTTATTTTTTTTTCTTTGTTTGTTTCTTTTTCTTCTTAGATTTCAAGGATGTAACAAATGTTTCACCTTTTAATTGAATTTTATTGGATATTTTTGTCACTAAATTATATTATTCTGGATTAGCTCTTTTTATGTACACATCTCGAGAAAAGGAAAAAAAAAAAAAAAAAAAGGATTTCTAAATGTGATTTCTCTTATTCAAATGAGTTTGTCTTAATTTTTTAGCCGCATTGCATAGTCATGTCAACTCCAGGAAAAAAAAAGAAAAAAAAAGGCAAATTTACAGCAAGTATGAGAGGTGAATGTTAAATACCTCAAAGTCAAACTGAGACAGCGAAGCAGAAGGAATTTAGGTTACCCCGAGGCTGAAAGCCGAGTATTATCATATTTTAATGTATAATAATTATCATTCAGTCTGGTTGTTGAAAGCAGAATTGTTTTTGACCTTCAAGTGTTTTTGTTCTCAGCGTTATAGTGATATACTTGCAGTTGTGTTAATCTTTTTCATTTTATTATTTTCCAATTATGTTTAGTTTTAAATATTTTTGTGAAGAGAAAAAGCTGTAATTATTTAGAACAAATACTCTAATTTTCTTTCTGTTTTTTTTTTTTTTTTCTTAATTGGTACCAGTTGTACACAAAAAAAAAAATCAAGAATAATTATGTTAGAGTTAAGCAATTAGAAATAGAAGGGGAAGTGAACTCCGCTCGTGTGGAGTCAACATCTGACAAATTTATTCATGCTTTTGCTACCTGTTCGACCGTCATTCACACATGATGCCATTGTCTGAGAAAATGTTCCAAACCAGCAGCACATGAGGGTTAGAGACCAATCAATACGATCATGTTAACAGAAAATAAACACTTTTTTTTGCATGTATTTAGACACAAATAACCCAAAGACTTTAGCAGTTTATACGATAACATAATTCACTGTATTCTTGTCTCAGCACCAAACAAAACACACTTTTTTTTTTCTCTCTCTCCATGTTTTAACATAAGTGGGGATCATTTTGGGGGAAAGAAAAAAACATCATCTGAAACCTTTAAACCAAAATGTACAGCGTGTGATTCAGACCGTGAGACGTCCATCCTGACTTTTTCTCGCTCTTTATTGAAACAGGGCTTTACTGTACAATATGCGAGGAAATTGCAATAACAGAGATTGATCAGAGGGTCTGAGCAACGAGGCCACAACTGTTTTTATCACTTGATATATAAAGCTTGCATTATCAGAAAAAAAATACAGGATATATGAGAAAACGAGAAAAAAAAAGTGATATCTTTGGTGTTTTATTATGGACAAACATCGGCGCCGACACCGCAGGCATTATCGCAAACAGAACCTCCGTTACCATACGTTGTTGTGAGCGTGAGGATTTTATGCAACAATCAGTAACCTCTCAAAACGCAACGGCGAGAATTAACGCAGCTCATTTTCTCTTTATTCACCTTCTACGACTTAGTGAGCTACCGGCCTTGTAACGAGGGAAGAGACGTCGTTTTTTTTTTCTACACTGCCAGTTTCTATAAGAGCTGCACTTCATATCATTTTGCTTTTTTTTTTGTTAGAATTCCATTAATGGCACCAAACAGGAACAGCAAATTAAAACAAATTAGTGTCTGTTTAGTGGCGGGGCAATGGTGCAGCTCTTATGATCCCACAGCTCTGATTGAGTGTGTTTTCACATGTAGTTATTTTTAGATGAGCCCCGAAAGAAAGGAACGAGAACCAACGATTATTTGCTCTTCATGTCCCAACTTTTACTCTCTCGAATAAAAGTAAAAGAAATCATTTTTCCCTGGGCTCTGGTGAGGCGCTAGTCCATCAGCCACCTCCACCTCTGTTTTCCTTTTGAACTCGGCCCCCTTTGTGGCTGAGGTTTGTGCTCCTCGTAGAAAAAAAAAAGAGCCAATATCCAAATCAAAGAGGCATGAAACAGATAGGGCCATTATTGAAATTGATCAGGGTAATCATCAGCTGAATCTGACAGGCTAATCATGGTTTGTTTTCACACACGAGACAAAGAGAAAGAGGGAGATTGCGGGCTATTATTCATCTCCAGCGCAGTGATGTTTTGGAAATGACATGGTAATTATTCCATCCTGGCTTGAAAGATGGCACCGCTGATCTCACGTCTATCCCGCGCAGTCATTTTGCCACAAGATTAACCGCACTTAAGATGAACTCCAGTCAGATCACCTGCCAGGGAGGAGGTCTGCAACTGGGCCCCTTCGTGTCAGGAAAACAATAACTACTGTAAAATTACCTTAAAAGAGTTGCATGTGAGAACAACTTGCCTGGAAATATGAAAACACACAACTCACTTGTAAGACAGCTCACTGCAGACACTATTTCTGTCTACGTTTCCTTTTGTACAACATCCAGTAACACATAGTAAGTTCATTTATTTTTATTTTAATATCTCTCCCAATTATTTAATAGCACAGCAAAGTATTTCTGCTTGTGCCCTGTGGTCAGAGGTCAGTGCAGACAGCTGGGTGTCTTTAGAGTATTGCTTTGTCCTTAATAATAATTCTGACATTTTTTGTTTATTTTTTATGATATAATATCGAATGCAATAGCGCATAATTTGTCTAGCCAAGCACACTAATACTGAGAACAAACCCATTTAGATCTATACAAACCAACAGGGCTGCTCTCAAAATACAACATCTTTATTTTATAGGTGTCACCCCCTAATAATCCACCCAGTGATGTCATTAGGTCACTATGGCTGCGATTCAAACCAAAACTGTGAACCTATCATCAGTTTGATTTTAGAACCTCGCTAATTGTCGCTATCAAACAACAGCCGTCTTTATTTAGACGTGTTGTCATAGAACAAAACTGAGCTGAAGACACTGCACAGAGGGAGCGGGGAGTCTGATCTGTGATCTGAGAATGACGTGTTCGGCCTTTTCAGCGGAGACGGAAAACAGTCAGCGCCGATCAGATCACAGTTGGAAATTCCGCTGGATCGCATTTCCTCAAGTTCTGGCCTTGGTCTGTACCACGTATAGCTCAAAGAAAGACATAATCTTCATTTCCTTGTTCTCAAATCCCCGCTGTTCCAAACGTGTAAAAAGAGAAGCATGTTGAGAAAACCCATGCAGGCTGCCTCTTTAAAGGCTTAATTTGGATTGCTTTCTGACCTGAGGCCTTTTGTATTACTTAGCGCCAGTGTTCTTGATGCATTATGGGCACTGGTAGCCTCAAGGTTAGACAAGCTGGCTTGCGGAGCAGTTAAATAAACACAATCACATTACGTTTAGTGAGACAGTGTAATGTTTTGTGTTGCACAACACGGCTATTTGCCATGTTATGGCTCATTTAGTTGAGAAAACTCTAATAAGCTCTCAGTTGGTCCTCGCATTGTCCTGCTGTTAACCGGACTCACCCTCCATTGCAGAACTTAAGGGGATGTACAGTCGGGAAGAAAAGTTTGCATACACTTGCAGAGACCATGTGTTTAAAAAGTGACTCCTACGACTCCCAGTGTTGTCTGCTGCAGTCAAGACCTTCAGGATGATGATTTTAGGTTTTCTTGAGGAATGTGCTAATCATACTCATAGACTGTATAAAAGATGGACGTAGCAACCGGCCCTGAAAAATGAAGCCAACCCGGTAGTGTCAAAAACCTTCGTCCACTAGCTGCTGGCTCCAAAAAGCCCTGGCTCCCATAGACTTGAATTGGAAAAGAAGTGATCACAGATCACCAAATACTGCATTCCTCCAGCTCAGGATTTTTTTGTTATTAGTTTTCATAGTCAAATCCAGAGATCAGGTGGCCAATCTGAAAATAAATCAATACTGAATTTTTAAAAAATCGTCAACATTTTGCGGGGCAAGGGGCGTGGCTGGCTTGATTGACAGTCGACAGCGACCATACAGACGAAGCGAGCAGAAGGCGGTAAATGTGGGCGGGCAGAGAGGGCCCGCCTCTCAATCCGTCTGACCAATCACTGCTCCTATGGCTCCGCCCCCCTCCGACGATTTTTGCATCACTGGCTCCAAAAATCCAAGATGTCAACCAGGAAGTAGCAAAACCCTGGCTTCATTTTCTCAGTACAGAAACCAACGGGTGACGTCATGGTAGCTACGTCCATCTTTTATGCAGTCTATGATCATACTTCTTCATTATTCCATTTACTTTGTGTAAAGCACCACCGGCAGCACAACAGCCCCACAGCATTTACTGGTGTCCTTAGTTACATGCCTCACCCTCTGTCCTCCTCTCCAACATGGCCAAACAGCCACATTTTTATTTCATCGGACCACAGAACTTTTCTCCAGAAGGCCTTTGATTAGTCCAAGTGATCAGCAGCAAACTTCAGTTGAACCTTAAGGTGCTACTTGTGGTTGACTGTGGACACTGACACCTACGTAATCTTGACACAACTGTGCCATACGCTTTATACATACAGAGGACTTTGGGATCTGTAGCTGCTTTAAAGTTTCTCCAGGTGACTTTCCTGACTTGTTGAAGTGCTTTTAGATCTGTGCTAAGCTCCTCAGACTTTGTGACTGAGCCTGGTGGGTGCATCCAAATGTTATTTAAATGGAGTCACCAGCTGCAGTCAGAAGTCATTACTAACAACCACACCAACACTGATCATTCAAGTTGCTTCATATATATAGTTTTGACTCAACAGATCTATCAAAGAAAGCTAAAATCTGCAATCACTGGAAATCCAAGCCTGCCGTGATGTCCATGGTCTGTACAAGTGTATGTAAACCATGACTGTGACAATCCCACAGTGCGATGATTTCACTTCTTTGTTTAATACAGCGGGTATGAAACCAGTCACTTCACATGTTAAAAGTTCAAAACTGAACTTAATTACTCCTCACCATGCTGCATGCTTCCAGCAGCTGCATATAACATGCATCACAGTCCGGCAAACCCAACCCAGCAGGAGCTGACACACCTATTCCAATGAGAAAAACTTCCACAATTGGAAATAATTCATCATCTCGTAGACAAACAGGAGGCAGTCGTACTCTAGTTTTTACTTTTTGTGTGGCATTAAAAAAAAAAAGTCAGCCTCTCTGCTGTCTTGTTAGAGCAAATGCAAATGCTTTCAACTCCCACCAAGCATGACTTTTGAAAAGGATATGCAAGTCCTATTCAAGCAAAACTTCTAATGATTAAAATCTAGAAAACTGGGGAGAGGATCTTGGAAATTCGCTGGT